TTAATTGAAGTATTGTTGATTTACAACGTCATGTTAGTTTTGGTGTACAGCAAAGTGATTCAGTTATATATACATATACATATATATATATTTATTCTTTTTCATTATGGTTTATAACAGGATATTGAGTATAGTTCCCTGTGTTATACAGTAGGACCTTGTTGTTTGTCCATTCTGTATATAGTAGTTTGTATCTGTAATCCCCAAATCCTAATTTATTAAGCATATTAAGCAGAAAATGGAGTTGTGCTTAATTTTAAATGAATAATTACTTATGGAATCAAGCTTAATGTGTGCCTCCCTTGTGTGTGTCACTGTTCTAGGATTTATAGGGGATAAAAAGATATAGTCTCTTTCCTCATGAATATTACAACCATTTGAGAAATAAGAGACATACACCTGCAACAGTTATATGTAAAACAAAGACGAGTATACAGCATTGTGTTCCACATGTAACTTACTCAAGGGTTAAATATGTTACAGATTAAAAAAAGGATAATTGAAAGTCAGGAATATTAAAGTGCAAAAGCAATTAGGAATAACAAGACAGTCAAAGGAGCAAAATATTGGGAGATTATGATTTACAGCAATTAAGTAGCTGACCTTGGTGTTAATCTAGGGCAGGTTTTAGCTTGCCTGGTTCATGAGATGATGAATCAAGTGATGATCTAGTGAGAAAAATTGAAGGCTTATTAGGGTGAGCTGCCTGAGTGGATAAAGTTGGTAAAATGAAAGAGTTTCTTTAATAAACAGGGGCTTTTTGCTAGGATTTATTGAGATATTTTGACACTACCTTTTTTAAATTTTCCTCCTTTACCTTAACTGCCAACCATCTCAGAGTTACCTTCTTCTTCTAAGGTGATGTAAGGGATGACAAGTAAGAGAACTGTGATTGACAAGAGCAAGAGCTTCTTTTCAAGACACTTCCAACAGAGAAGTTTCTAGTGAAGACTAAGATAGAACCATACTGCTGTGTGGTGGATACACAATAGCAACAAATGGAACATAAAATTCTAATATTACCACTATAAAAGACAGTGAGAAGAGAGAAAGAAATAGGATAGAAAGAATAATATGGGTCAAGTACCAAAGTATAAAGGTAGTGAAGGATGAGAGGATTTCTACACAGTTGTAATAGATGATGTCTGATATAAATTAACACTGAGTGTTTACTACTGCCTTAAATGAGCACAAAAAAATCCCTGAGGCAAAATTAGCTAAACAGAGGTTTAAAAAATTTTTTTTAATAATTTACCCAAGGTTACAAAGCCAAGAAGGAGAAAAACTAGGATCTGAGCCCAGACCATGTATTCCAGCAGTTGATTTTCTAATCTTAAACCCCGTATCCTATTTTGTGTGAGAACTGATTAGCAGAAACAACCAGAGGTCTCCAGGTGATTTTTATCCCAAGCTATAGAGGTCAGTTCTTGGAGAATCCCCACATGCAGATAATTATTAATATGTGGCATATGTCGTACCTATTTTTAGCTTAGCAAGCAGCAGAACTTGTTTGGAAATAGTCTGGAAAGAACTACTAAGTGGCATTTCTGAACAGTTTCTACTGTGGTTAGTTGCTGCAGCTGCAGCTTTCTTATTTGTATTCTTTCCTGTTTCAGGAATTGTTTTTCCTCTCTTTACCTGTGATAAAGCACATTCTCTCTGAAGAAATCAAACCAAAGATTTTTAGAAACTGTAATTTAATAATTAGGGTTAATCCTCAAAATACCCACAAAATGGCTTAAAATCTTGGCATTTATACTTTCTATGGTGCTATGCTATCACACTGAGAAAACAGGAACATATTGAGATCTGTCTCTTAAGAGAAATATTACAATAGAATAAATAATGTCTCTATGCATAAGCCACACAAGAAGAAATTTATTTCTATAGCAGATAACAAAATTTTAAACCCATTTACTGTTGTTTTCTATCACACAAAGAATAGATACTAAATAGTTTAAGGAACATACTTGTCAAAATAACAAATAGAACCTGGATAGATTGTAAAGAACTTATGACTTGTTTATCAGTTTTCAAGTTATTCTCACTAGGCAACTTTGTAGCAGACTGTTACAGAAAAACGTTAGTGAAATGTAAGCCTGTCCTCAATGACCAAAAAAAATCACATGGAGACCTTACTAAAAAAAATCAGTGTGTACCCACCCTACATTTCCTCCCTCCCATTATGATTTAATTGGTATGGGCATCATTTTACTTTTATTGTAGCTACAGGTGGTTCTGCTGAGCAGCTATTGTTGAGAACCACTGTATTAGATTTCTAAGGCTTCTGTAACAAAGTACCACAGACTAGGTGTCTTAAAGATGTTTGTTCTCAAAGTACTTACTGTTAGAAGTCTGAGATCAAGGTGACAGCAGGTTGGTTTCTTCTGAAGCTTCTCTCCTTGGCTGGTAGGTTATCATCTTCTCCCTTTGCCTTCACCTGGTCTTCCCTCTGTGGGTCTGTGTCCTTATCTATACTTATAAGGAGACCAGTCATGCTGGATAGGGGCCCACCCTAATGACCTCCCTTTACCTTTTTAAAGCATCTACCTCGAAATACAGTTACGTTCTGAGGTACTGGGGGCTAGGACACTAACATATGACTTTGGCAAGGACACAATCCAGACCATAACAACATTAATCTAGAAAGTGATTAGTTAAGAATGGATAACATACAACCAAAAATTTTAAAACTATGCATTGTTTCTATTATTTAATTTTGAATATAAAGCTGTTATTTAGGGGCTTCCCTGGTAGCACAGGGGTTAAGAATCTGCCTGCCAACGCAGGGGACACAGGTTCAAGCCCTGGTCCGGGAAGATCCCACATGCTGCAGAGCAACTAAGCCCGTGAGCCACAGCTACTGAGCCTGCGCTCTAGAGCCTGCAAACCACAACTACTGAGCCCACGTGACACAACTACTGAAGCCTGCACACCTAGAGCCCGTGCTCCACAGCAAGAGAAGCCACCGCAATGAGAAGCCCACGCACCGCAACGAAGAGTAGCCCCCGCTCGCCACAACTAGAGAAAGCCCGCACTCAGCAACAAAGACCCAACGCAGCCAAAAATAAACAAAATATATTTTTTAAAAGCTGTTATTTAAATTTCAAAAAATTACTATGGAATGCCTGTGCCATGATATTTCTAAATCCTTTATGATAAGCTGAACCAGAGGAGTTTATACTGAACAAGAATGTACTTTAGAAATTCACTGTACTGGAATACATTTTTAACATTTTACTGATGATGTTTTATCTCTAAAGCAACCATTTCCACAACTCTACAACTTCAAAGTAGAAGCTTCAGATAAAGTATTGTAAAGGCGATAATTTGAATAGCAAAAAACACATCAAGGTGCCTTTCATCCACAGAAACCAACCGATTCATTGGTGAAGACTAGAGTCAACCACAGTCCTGAAACCCTGAGCTCCTAACTTAGTACAGGTTATCAGTCATATGGCAACCCCGGAAAGTGCCCCAGGGCATTTATGGACATTGGCGTCACATGTGAATCAACTGGGACCTTTTTAAAATTCCATTTCCTGGACAATTAAAAAGAAATAGGTATGAGATTCAGGTGTAAGTATTTTTGAGGTGATTTCATGTGTAGCCAAGTTTGAGAATACTAACTTAGAGTCCTAACAGAGAGTACCTGAATATAGACCTAATTAAGTTTTGTATCGTTTTCAATGCTGTTAATTGCCTTGTTGATCAGAAAGTTGCTCTGAGATACTCTACCACAACCACATCTCCTAAAATTAAAAAATTATAGCCAAGGGAGTGGAAATTCAAAAATAAGAGGCCACACCTAAATTTATCATTTCAAGTATAAATTTATAGTCAAAATATTGCATAAAAATAACAAACACTGTGCATTGTTAACAAATTCTAAGTGAAAAGCAACCCCTTCTTATCAATAATCCAAATCCCCAGAGCAAACAGTGTGTTTTTTTCAATTTTACCTGAGTTTATTTCCAACCTAATTTCCAGTTTTCTAGCTTATTTTCATAACACCCAACAACATTCTCAGTGACAGCTTTGAGACAATGTCAGAAATCCTGAGTATGGCCATTAAAAAATAATGACCGTATAGCTAGAGGTTTTATCATGCTGTTTAGAAAATGAACAATAAAACATTAAGAATTAAAACAAAATAAGCAACCACTATTGTTTCTATATGTATTCTTTCCATCTTAAGTATTTTTTAACTTTTCTTTTTACTAACCATACATTTTTAAAAATCAAACTTCCAAAATAAAAGTTCCCGTTTTTAAGTGTAGCGTTCAATAAGTTTTGACAAATATAAGCACCACTGCGATCAAGGTACAGTTTCATCACCACAAAAAGGTCCCTTGGTGCCCTTTCCCAGTCAATCCGTCAATCTCTGTCCTCCCAAACACTGATGAGATTTCTGACTATATAAATTAGTTTTGCATTTCCTAGAATTTCATTTAAATTGAATCATTATAGTAGGATGTATTTTTTATTCCTGACTTCTTTCATCCAGCAGTTTTTTTTAATGTATTCATTCATTTGGTGTCTATCAGTAGTTTGTTCTTTTAACTACTGCATAATATTTCATTATATAAACAAACTAAAATTTATTTTATTTACCTATTAATCTGATGATGAACATTTAAGTTGTTTCTGGTTTGGGGCAATTAAAAATAAACCTGTGGTGAATATCCCTGTGTAATTCTTTGTTGGACATATACTTCCGTTTCTCTTGGGTAAATACCTAAGAGTGGAATGGATGGGTAGTTTATTATTGTGCTAGGGCTGCTATTATAAAGTACCACAAACTGGGTGGCTTAAACAACAAAATGTATTGTCTCACAGTTCTAGAAGTTGGAGATCAATGATGTGTCAACAGGATTGGTTCCTTCTGAGAGTTATGAGTGAGAATCAGTTCCATGTTTCTGTCCTAGCTTCTGGTGGGTTGCTGGCAATCTTTGGCTTGTAGAGGCATCACCCTGATAACTGCCTTCATCTTCACACGGCCTTCTCCCTATGTGTGTTTCTGTGTCCAAAATCCCCCTTCTTATAAGGACACCCGTCATATTGGATTAGTGCCCACCCTACTCCAGTATGATCTCATTCTCACTTAACAAAATGACTTTGAGGCTACTTGCTGAAAGGCAAAGAGCTCAGGCTAGAAATCAAAAAGCAATCATTCACAGTGCTTCTGCCAAAAATACATAACCTGAGTATAATCATGTGGAGACATCAGACAAAACCCAACTTGAGAGACATTTTATGAAATCAATGCTCTGTACTTTTCAAATATCAATGTCACAAAAGACAAAGAAGGACTGAGGAATTGCTCCATATTAAAGGAAACTCAAAAGACTTGACAAGTGAATGTGATATGTGACCCCGTTGTGATAAAGGACACTTGTGGGACATTTGATGACATTTTAATGAAGTTATTACATTAAATAATGGTATTATATCAATTATAATTTTGATAATTATATTATGGTTATATAAGAGAATATCCTTGATTTTAGGAAATGCACACTGAAGTATTTTGGGAAAGTGGGAAATAACATGTGTGACTTACTGTAAAATAGTACAAAAAATTAATTATACACCTTCCCCCCAATATACACACAGAGGAAATAATAAAGCAAATATGGTAAAATGTATATTTGGATTTGATCACCAAGAGAATGAATGTAAATAGCAGAGACAATAATGCCAAGGACAAACCCTTCAGTACTCCAAAGTTTAGAGATCAGGGAAAATGGGGAAAAATGGAAAAAAAATACAGCAACTCGGAGTAGCTTGAGAGGTAAGATCAAAACTGGGTGGATGACTTTGGATTCTTAGCAGCTTATTAGAGTTTCTAGACACAGAACCAATAGGAAATAGCTATATCTATTTCTGTATCCATTTCTATATCCATATTTATATCCATATCTATATCTGTATCTATATCTATCCATGAACTTGCTCCCGCAATTGTGGAGGGTGGGAAATCCAAAATCTGCAGGGTAGTACAGCAGGCTGGAGACCCAGGGAATAGCCGCTTGAGTCCAAAGGCAGTCTAGAGGCAGAATTCCCTCTTCTTAGGGGAACTTTAGTCTTTTTTTTCTCTAAGGCCTTTATTTGGATGAGGCCCACTCACATTATGGAGGGTAATCTGCTTTACTCCAAGTCTATTGGTTTAAATGTTAATCTCATCTAAAATTATATCTTTACACCGACATCCAAACTGGTGTTTGACCAAATAACTAGGGACCATAGCCTAGCCAAACTGACACATAAAACTAACCATCACAGAAGCTAACTAAAAAGAGGGTATCAAAAATGAGAGAATGTTGCAATGGATAAAATAAATGAGAATTTGACTACAAACTGACCACTGGAATTAGTAAAACAATGCCACTAATGATCACAGGTGGTTTGGATGGCGGTACCTGATTGGAGTGAATTCAAGTGGGAATGTGAGGAGAGATACTGGATGCAGTAAGAATAAACAATTCTTTGAGGAATTTTTTACTTTAAAGATGGGGAGATGTATAGCATGGTAGCTTGATTGTGTGACGGAGTCAAGAGAAAATTTTAATATGGGATAGATAACAATATGTTTGCTGATGAGAATGATCCAGCAGAGAGATGAACAAGAGAAAAAGGAGAAATGCAACATTTTGAATAGTTGGAATGTAAGAGATCCAGCATAGACGTGGAGGGGTTGAATTCAAACAGGAGTGTGGACGGTTCACCAAACAGGTGGGAAGCTGAGGGTATGGGTTGAGAGGTAAGTTGGGGTGAGAGTGTAGTAGCAGGAGATGATGAAAGTTCTCTTCTGATTATTTCTATTTCTCATGTAACAGGACAGGTCCAGGCTTATGGGTATGCAACCCACACGACGGCATAGGACCCGATGCACAGAAGGGTCCCACAAATTTTAAATCTCTGTTGTTGATGTTATAAAATTCTTAAAAGATTTATCTTTGAACTTTCGTAAAGTCCAATGAGACAAAGGAACATGAGGGTGAGCAGAGGAGATACACACAATATGTGCATCTTCTCTTTCTTGCTAGCCCCTTCACATATAGTATTCATGATGCCCTGTGAACACAGAACTCCAGTGGATTCACTATGCGTGGGAATTCAGCAAGACTCAAAGCAAGTACAAGGTAGGCCAGCCTACAACTGGGAAAGCCTGGGACACTGACAGCCCAAGAAGCCACACTTTCAGTTTGTACAAGAATTTGCTGCCAACTCAGAAAAAAGGCAATAGTGATCCAAGAAACACAGAAAATTAAGGAACCTGTTATATCTTTTCTTATTCAAGTTACTTCGCTGTAGTAGCTGACTACTTACACTGAAAATGATGACGTGAAAGGGAAACACAGGGCAACCCATACTTCTTTTTCTTTCAGTTTTTCCTCACTCGGCAGTAAGCTGAGGTAGAGACTTTAGACAGAATGTGCACGAATAAAGAAGGGAAAAGAAAATATTTGGTTAGTTTTGTGCAACATTTCCTCTATTCTGATAAAAATAAAATACATATGCATATATAAACCACAAAATGTAAATTTTGTAATTTTGATGATTCTTCATACAAGTTAAATAATCTTATTTTTGCACTTAAAACTGGCATTGCAAAATATAAAGATGAATGGTAAAATTCATGATAATAAATTAAACTTTTAAAATTTTTCTTTACTTGGGACAAGATTAACTACAAAGTAAAAATGCCACGACATTGTGAGAGACCATGAAAGGAAAAGTTTTTATATTTTAGTACTTTTAATGTCACTTTTTTCCTGCTTTTTAAATAAGAGTCGCTGCATTTTTATTTTGTATTTCATCTTGCAAATTATGTGGCTGACTCTGAAATAGCAGGCACATGATCAGCTGAGAATGATGATGAGAGGGGAGATTTTGGAAGTTTGAGAAAAGAAAAGCTATGAAACAGTGCCATTGTAGAGTGGAATTGTGAATAGTAATAGCAAAATGAAGTATGCTTACTGGGCAGCATTAAGAAACCACTTGAGGTTAATGATCATAATTATAAAGAGTGTCCAGTCAGCATGATGGTATTTTTTCTCCAGACATATTCCTCTGCATGGAGGGCAAGGAGGTTGAGTGTTTATGAAAGGAAGCAGAACCACTGTAATAACTGACTAGGAAATTTAATCTAAATAAGGAGGGAAGTGAGAATTTAAGGAGCTAACAGACACTGAGAAGTCATAAAATCAGATATTTTCTTATTTTTGGAGGATTTTTAGAGTTGGAGCACTACAGGGAATGAGCCAGAAAGAGAGGAAGTGGGAGGTGTGATGTTGAGATTTTGGACGGGAGGTAGTCATTGGTCATGAGCACCAGGATATAATGAGAATGTGTGGCTATGGTAGAGTGGAAGAGATCAATTTACTGAGAGATCTGAATGTTGGAAGGATCTTCATGGATAGCGAAATCTCAAAGAGTTCTGATAGCAGTGTTGGAGAGAACTACAGTGAACCCAGCCCTGACATCAAAGAAGGACTAGTGACCCTAGGGAATGATAGTTGAATCAATAGAGAGACGTGGTGATAGATTAATGACAAAAGACTCTAAATGTAAATCTCCCTCCAGCAGGGGAGGAGTGGGAGTTGAGGTCAGAGAAGATAATTTTCAGAATGTAAAAATTCAAATTTCCAAGGGATGAGCATTAATGTAGGAGACTAGGGTTTCTATAGTAATGACATGAAAAGGAATAAAGAGCACAATGTAATCATTCCTGATGGTCTCAAGAAGGAATGCTGGTGACAAAGTTGTGAGTGTTGGGGGTTGCAGAGTTCTGGCGTGCCCCTTGAACCTTGCTCATGGAGAATTCAAGTCCCCCAGAGATGTCTAATTATTAGTGACTGGACACTCCTGACCTCTCTAATGACAATCAATGGAGCATGTATGAATTTATGAAGATCTGCTCATTGAGGGAAATGACAAGTAGTTTTGAAAACAAGCATAAGTTAAGTGTGTGGGAGTAAAAGAAGGTGAAATTTTAAAGGTGGACCATTTCAAAGGAATTAGAGTTTCAGCCTACATATAAAGAGGAGTCTTTGATGGATCTAGCCTGGGGTAGTAGAAAGAGGTTGTATTAAGAAAGGATTGATATTCAATTCTGCAATTAACTGGCTTTGGCAAGACAGTTGTATATTTTCTACAACTTAAAAAAGGAAAAGTAATGCACATAAATAATATTTATTTTACATTAATTTAGCTTGGAAGAGACATTATCAGATCTATTCTATAATAGTAACTCTTGAAGAAGGTGACAACTGTAGATCAGGCCAGAAGGGAAGAGAGCCTGGTCTCAGAGCCAAAGGAAAAAGGCCGATGAGGCAAAAGATGTATAAGTGGTAAAGTCCCATTAAATTAACCTAATTGTGGCCAATTGGATCTGTAGTTTAGAAAACAGTAGGAGACAAAGGTAAATTCAAAGACTCCTGGGGCTACGGTTTAATAGAATCAAAGAGGAGATAGATGCAAAGATAAAGATTATGGTGTATATTTTGGACATTTTAGATTGGAAGAACTATACATCCAGGTAATGGGATCCACTGGGGAAATAGATATATTCAAAAGGGCACTGGTTCCCATTGAAGACAGAAATTTGAAAGTCACAGAATTTCAGGCGCTTGGAGAGATGAAAATGTTCAGAGTGTAATAAGAAGGTGGTTTTACATTAAGTGAAATTAATGTAAAAGTTCTGTAGAAGTGAATGCTGATGAGCAAGGAGGCTAAGGTGTTAGACCAATCAACAGCCTTAGGCAGGGAGGGTAAGGGTGGCTGGGAGGAAACCTGGCAATCAGCTGCAAAGCCAAAAAGGATTAGGTTACAGAGGCCAAATTTTTGCTTGTTATTGTCTTCATCACTTCTTATACATGGGCCTTATGCCACAAGAGGGGGGGAAGGAGGAAGGGAGGGAGGGGGAGAGAGAGAGAGAGAGAGAGAGAGAGAGAGAGAGAGAGAGAGCGAGCCCCTAAGAATGTTTACAGATCTCATTAATTTTCAGACATTTCAGAAAGAGACTGAGCTGTCAGGTCTGAGATATGTTCAAGATCTTAGCCCAATGCCTTCCTATCTCTCCAACAAATGCTTGAATATTTTTTAGCATGTGCTGCTCTGCCTTTCATGAGACAGTTATCACTTTGTAAGCTCAAAGGGAAGTCTTTCTCCACACCTGTAGCAGCCCAAATGACTTCAAAGTCTTGTTGCAAAGGGGAGAAAGAGACTGATGACCCAAAAAACTGCAAAAAGAGAAGAGCCTTGGATTTCTTGAGCAGATTGCCTGTACCTCCACCTGTCAGTCCCATTTGTACATTTGTTTCTCCAGCTGCACAGAAGGCATTTCAGCCACCACGGAGTTGTGACAACAAATATGAAACACCTATGAAGAAAAAAGAATTGAATTCTCCTCAGATGACTCCACTTAAAAAATTTAATGACATCTCTCTTTTGGAAGGTGATTCAATAGCTGATGAAGAACTTGCCCTGATAAATACCCAAGCCCTTTTGTCTGGTTCGGCAGGAGAAAATCAACTTACATCCATCAATGAGTCCACTAGGACTGCTCCCACTGGTCCAAAAGATCATCTCGGACTGAAAAGGCCTTACACTGCATCTGTGATCAAAGAATGAGGGAATTCCACAGCCAGGACTAAAGAACAGAAGACTAATATGCAGGACACAAGTACAATAAAAAATATATCCAAGAGACTGCAAAGGCGACAAAAACCAAAATGATGATAAATTAGGTATTGACTCAACCTTTCCAGTTTGTAAAACATATACGATTTCAAATGCTACATCAGAATTTGCATAATGAGAAAAGAAAGGAAAACGTTCAAAATGTATCTACGTGCTTGTATATCACAGCAATGCTCTTTGCCTGCTTCTATATTGGTATACTCTTATTTCAATTATATATCTTAAAACTGTGACTGTATATTTATTAACTAATCAAGAAAAAAATCTCCTTTAAATCTTTATGACTAGATTTGGTCACTATAAGTATGATTTTACAAACAAAGTAAACATACCTGTTTCTTTTAGATTGTGTCCTTATAACTAAAAGAAACGAGGTTTCTAAGTGCAGTTATTTTGACTCATATAATTTCTCTTAGTTTAGTTCCTATTTTAGGTTTGTTTTTAAGAGGTAACCCACTATGAACCAGTTTTCCTTAATGCACATGTTGGTTCTAATACAGTTTTATCCTGATCAAAAAAGTCAGGATGAGTAAGATATTACAGTGGTGTTTTCTTTTGACCAATTCCTCATCCTTAAGTCAGCGCGACTACAAGAAAAATAGAACCCTCAATGTACTTCCCTTTTATGATTCCAATGTGATCTGTAAAATTAAATTATTTATTAAAAGTTCAAATATTTTAAATCAGAAGCAGATTTTAAATCAGAAGATTTCATAGTGTTAATTTGTTTTTGTTTTTGTTTTTGAACAAAATGATCGTCTGGACTGCAGATGATGTAGAGAAAAGATCTCAGTTTTTGATATTGGAATTAAATCCTGGCTCTGCTATGCAACCTTGCATAAGGTTTGTTACTCCATTTATAAGATGAGATAAATAGTTTATAGGTTTGCTAGGATGCTGTGTCATGATATATGTAAAAGAGCTACACAGCTGTGTGGATGCACCCACCCACAAACACATATATATTTATGACCCACCCCCAAACTACACATGCTATCATACATGCAGACAACCTTGAGAACGTTCTTACACTAAATAGCACTTGTCAAGCTACTGGTCTTAATTTTACCCCTTGGAGGGATCAGGACAAATCTTGTCCTTCTTGTCTAAGTGGGAGGAAGATAAAGAAAACTGCAGGCAGAAGGAACCAAAGATGGTCTTGATATCAAAGGTGTTGAAGCAAGGAGGATTTGGGGCATTTAATATGTGTGAAAGTATGGTAACTGGATCTTAGATTAAGTCAAGTGCATTTGAAAGCTTTCCCAACTGTGAAAGTTTCTCTAAGTAGTTCTCTCAACAGGTTCGCCTCAGAAAATTAACGCACCCCAGGACCAATTGAAGTTCCCATCAATTAAGCTAATTGACACAGCAGGCTTAACCTATTTTCCAATGGTGAATATAAAGTATTTGTTCAACAAACAAAGGCCTCTCAAATCTTTTGAAAGCCTACCCTAGTCAACTGGTTGAAGGCTCAAAATTAAAATATATATATAGGGATAAGCTTTAATAACACCAAACTTACCCTCCAATTAGGCAGGCATTGTGATGAGGTGGAGGGACTTATTATATTCAACTAAACTTATGATTTTATGTTTAAAATTTTTAAACATCAAGATTTCCATACCTTCTTTAAGGAAATCAATGTTCTATTGAAGTTCTTTACAGTCTTTTAAAAATGTGCTTTAATATTTTTATTACAACCAAAAAGTAATATGAAATAATCATTTTATTTTCAGCTTTATGTTCAATTTGGAAAGTAATTATTAAGTTTTCAAATGGTATTCTCTTAATTCCATTACATGTTTTTTTTTCTCCTAAACCTAAGGTTCTGCTGACATTGAATTTTTAAAAAATAAATAAATAAAATAAAATAGGACAGAGAATATGAAAGTTCTTTGTAAAATTTAAATTATTTTTGAGGTAGATATTATTACTATAATCTTAGAAACCAACGTGATGATCTTTCCTTTCATCTCCTGTTGAAGTTTATGTACTCATTTAACTTACAATACAGACATCTTCTCATTTCCCCATTTTGCTAGTATATTGTCTGCTTGACCTTGGAAAACTCATTTAACCTCTGTGTCTCAGTTTTCTTATTAGTAAAATGGGCCAATTTGAGAGGGTCATTGTGAGAATTAAAAATGAGAATATGCAGTAAAAGTTTTAGTGTGTTTGCTAGTATAAATGAGCCCTCGATAAGTATGAGCTATTGTAAGCAGAAAAATGGAAAAGAAAAGGAAAGGAGAGGCATTTTAGGTGGAAGGAATGTTATACGTCAAAGACACAGAAGCAGAGCTTAGCTGTGCCTGGTGAGTGGCAGCAATGGGTCAGGCTAGAATCCTGTTGTTGCAGGGAATGATGACAGGTGATGGTTCATGGGGATTTTATAAAGCCAAACTGAAAGTCTGGGTTTTAAGTTTTGTTTAGTGCATAGTAGAGAGATTTTGTTTGTTTTTCTTGTTTCGATTTTAATAACAGTAAATGAAATGATCAAGCAAATCTTTCAGGAAGATTAACTGGAGCAATGAATAGATAGCATCAAAAACAAGAGAACAGACCCAAAATGGAGTCACTGATGCTAAGCCCCATGTCATCAAACCAAGACCTAACTTAATTACAATTTCAGCTCTCCCAGAAAAGGAATCTTAAGCGAGTCAATCAGGAATTGCCTTATCAGCACTAGTTAGGTCATCTACCTGATAAACCTCTACCATCCTCTAAAGGAAGTAATCTTGCAATAATCAATTCACTTTTGCCTGGCATAACGTTTTTATTCCTGCTCCATTCTGCCTTTCAGTCTTTCATTTTGTTCAGCGCCTAAGAGCTCCTTTCTATATGTTAGATGGCTGCTGCCCAATTTATGAATTGTTGAATAAGGCCAATAAGATCTTTAAAATTTACTCAGCTGAATTTTGTTTTTTAACAATGTGAAATTTGAAGAGTAGAGATCAGTCTGGAAATTACTGTAAGAGTCTGGAAATAGGTTAATAGTATTTACTGGGTCACAAGGCAATACAAGAAGACTTAGAGATAAGTTAGTATGTTCTTTCTCCATCTCTGAATTTAATGCACAAAGAAATCAAAGTATAAGATCAACAAATGATTTACTTAGGTCACACAGCTAATTCTATTAGATCTAGGCCTAGAACACAATTTTCATGTTCCCAGGTCCATGCTGTTTCTATAACACCAAACCACCTCAATTCAGCAGGCACATATTGCAGATATACTATGTGCAAGGCATTCAAATGGGCGCCTCAAGTAATCAGAAGGGAAGACCTGAGTTGTAAAAGATATGATGGCTTATACCATTATGCTTTTAATTTTCGAGTATTTGAAGGTGTCACAAGAAATTATTTCACAAATTTGGAAAGACTTAAATACTGCTAGTGACTCCATTTCTAGCAACTTAAAAATGTCCAGTTAGATTACATGTCAATGAAAAAATTTTTCAATAAAGTATACTCGATTCTGAATTACATAGGATTATTAGCTAGTGCAAAGGGCCTCTTACTGGCTTGTAGGGGGAAAAAAAATGAGGGCTCTCCACCTGGCCTTCTCTGACACCACACTGGCAGGGTGATAGCGGGGCAAGCGGTATCTTATACTCTGGTGAGAATGGACAGGAAGGTTCCAGACTCAGCCTTTTCAGTAAGGATAGGAGTGGCGCCACGGTTTTTTCTCTGGTGTTTTGCTGGGCTAGAGCAGTTATTGGCTAAAATTTATCTGTCTTGCTAGGCTTCCCTTTTCCTGGACCTTTGGCTAGAAAGAATGAGCTTTTCTTGGGGCTATTTTTGTCTGTGTGTTGGTGTTTCGGGATTGCTGGTTCCCCAGAACCAAATCTGTCATATATCAAGCAGAGAAAATCCAAAGAACCCATCACTATGTCATTACTCAATTACTATATCCCTAGACTATCTGCTGTCTTCTCTCCGTCTTTTCTAGAGTCTGCCTAAATTTGCATTATATATTATGTCAAAGGATTTTAACTGTACTTAGTGGAGGAATGGGGAAGAATATATCTATTCTAAGTTTCCAAAAGTGGAAATCTCTTTATGAGCTTTCTAAACTGACTTTTATATTGTGACATAGGATAATTTCCCCTCAAAATATTTTTTACTTGTCTTATTTTTATTGCAAAAGATCTGATTTTATAGTTGTTCTCATAAAAGTACCACATTTTGCTGTATATTTCAACTATATCATTTCAGATGCTAGAAAACCATTATTAGGTGATTAGAATATTTTATAATCTATGTCTATTACAGAGTCCAATTGAGATTAATTAAATGGTAAATTCAGATTTTTTCTGATTCCAGGACTGCCTTATTATAAAAGATAATAAATTTACCTTCAGAAGACATCAAACTGACAGTTTTAAGGAGAATATAAACTAAAAGCTGTAAATAATGGAACTAGAAAATTTGTTTTGTCTTTATTTTCAACTGTTTAAAAAAAAGAACAGTCATTTGGGTTATTGAGGAGTAGATTATATTCAAGGACCTACTAAAAATATGTTTATATTGTATATATAGCAATTTAACCTGGCTAATTTTTCATGAATCTCCCCTGATAATTGGTTTTATGCCATCTTGCTGGAGGTATACTATTTTTCTCAGCACTCCTGGGAATATCTGGAATATGCTTCAAGCATTCATGATAATACAACATTAAGAAATTTATCAACATACAGATTACATATTCTTATTAAAAATTAAATGTGTAGAGTGCATATAAGCATTGAGGATTCCTGGGTAACATTAGTCTGCAAAGTCAGCTCACATCACCTTCAATCACTGACATTTATTCCTTTAGGAAAAGGAGAGACTTGGTGGGCACTTGATTTTTGTCAACTCTCAGCTCTACCCAAAGTATATATGTGTACAGAGTCTCTGAGACCTCTACCTCTGGTGCAACAATGGTTTCCCCTCTTTGATAGATCTTATCCTAATTTTCATTACTTGAGCTGTGATTGAAGCAGCCCACTGCAACCTTCACCTTTCTAGAAGCTGGCGGTCACTCTCCAGTGGAGTCACACATACATGCTACCAAACTTCTCCAGGCCCTTGGCAGGGAAGGGCATGTATTTAACCTTATTGGATACTGCCATTGCCCTTCTTCTGGGATGACCAAAAAAACTACTTCTTATCCCATTATATCTTTCCCAAATCGTTAGTTTTTCAAAGACCTCTTTCTCCACTCTGTGCACAGTATTTTTGCACCCATTTTTATCATTGTATTCAATGGTCAAAATATCAATAATATTTTGTATTATGTATTTTATACATGAATGAACAAAAAACCTATAAAACATGTAATGGTTGGCAGATAAAATGTGCTTAGTAAAGTTTAGATATAATTATAATTGTTCTAACTAATATTTTATGATAATACTCAGTAGAGTTGTTTTATATTAATTGAAGAAATAACTATAGCTTATTAACTATAAAGTAAAAGCATCATAATAAAATAGAGACTAAATAAAGTGGAAGGAAAAATGCATTTAAACACCAAGACTACATATTAAATTACATTTACAGGCAACAAGATTTTAAGTGGAATGTTTCTTATTTCTAAAATCTTTTTTATAATTATCTTCTTGCTCTCATTAATAAATACTTATGCATAATTATCAAACTATGTAAGTACAAGTACTAGATTGGTTGGACTTTTATACGTCTTATTGCTCTCCATCTCCTCCACTGCTTATTGAAAGGAGATCAAACCGTGGTTCCTTGAGCTCTCCGGGGCTGTGAAGATGTACAGACTTCACCTAACACAAATGGACTTTTCCCCAAAACCAGTGACCCACTAGCATGGGAGCTGAACTGTGTGTGTTCTTTTTGCCTAAGAAGATGTGGAAATAGTGTGACACCAGCCCTCTGCTGAGGGATAAGAAGTCACCAAAAGTAAGTTAAAGAATCTTAATAAAAGGAACTGCTTACCTGGAACAAAACTGAAGTTTTGGGCTCCAGATATACTATAAAAACACCATTTTCCTTCTTTGTGATTAATGAAAGAAAGATGATACCAAAATAGAAGAACTTCACACAATAAGAAGTATCATTCATAAACACTCTAAGTCACAGTCACCTGCAAAAGAACACTGAATTGTTAAACACTGTAACACACTTGAATTACCAGGAAGTACTTTGCCCTGTGAGAACATGTAATATAATAGACAAGATGCCATAAACTTTGCCTTAAACAACGATGGACTTCTATGTTTGTCTTGCCTGTGGTCAAGACATTGAAAATGCACTTGTTTACCTTTTTTATTCAGCATGTTCATAAACATTCTGTGTCCAGTCATTTCTTGAAGTTTTAATTGAAACAAAATTATGACATAACAGTATCTAAAGAACAACCCCAAACTAGGTTGAAAGTGTGAAAAAAGAGTGTTATAATGTTAGAATTATTCTAAGTCCATAATTATACTAAGTTTTTCGTTGAATTCATTTCTTCTATCATCTCTTCCTTTGTCTGCCTTCTTCTCACAAGATTTCACACATAGCTTCATAGTTTTGAGAGACACAACACAATCGAATCTGATTTCTTCTTTAGTTAACCAATAAGAAAGTGAACTGTGTCCTGTGCTATGTTAAATATTGAAGGTACAACTTATAAAAGAAGTTAAGGTGCTAGAATCCTGTGAATCTGTTTCTGTTCTGTAAATAAGTTCATTTGTATCATTTTTTAGATTCCACATATAAGTGATATCGTATGATATTTGTCTTTCTCTGTCTGACTTACTTCACTTAGTATGATAATCTCTAGGTCTATCCGTGTTGCTGTAAATGGCATTATTTCATTCTTTTTTTATGGCTGAGTAATAAAACAAACTTATGGTTACCAAAGGGGAAAGGTGGGCAGGGAGGGATAAATTCGGTATTTGGGATTAACATATACACACTACTATATATAAAACAGATAATCAACAAGGACTTACTGTATAGCACAGGAAAGTCTACTCAGTATTCTGTAATAACCTATATGGGGAAAGAATCTGAAAAAGAATAGATATATGTATTCATATAACTGAATCACTTTTCTGTACACCCAAGACTAACACAACATTGTAAATTAACTATGCTCCAATATAAAATAAAAATTAAAAGAAAAAGAAAACAGACTTACAACAATAAATAAATAAAAATAATGGCTCTGTCCTGAAAAAAAAAAAAAAAGATGTTACAATCCTGATTTCTAGTAGCTTCCAAACTTACTAGGGTAAGCAAAACATACAGAAGTGTAAACACATACTAGACTTTGGGGTGCCCCGTGAATCGTGTGTTTAATTGGAGTAAATCTTTGAGTGATGTATGAACCTATGGCACAGCTCCTGGGATGCTCCTTTGTGGTGTACACGCTTGGCATCTTCATAATCCCCAAATTCACTCCAACCGTTTTCCAGGTTTGTCATCTGTGCTATCTCCCCTACCCCAGGCCCCCATCACCTTCTGCTGAAGACTAAGAAGCACAAGGAAGAACAGCAGGTGATCCTCAAGGTCAGGACATTTGTTTGGAGAGTGGCCTATTGAAAACATGTCCTGCACCCATAGTGTGCCAGGCACTGCGTTAAGCCTGTTACTTACATATCTCATTTAACCCCTACCACCATCATATGAGATAGGGTGCTATTATTCCCTTTAATAGATGAGGGAACTGTCACTGAGAAAATTTTCATAATTTGCTTCAGGTCATACGGCATATATCTGAGATGGTCTGATAACAAGTCCATGTTTAGTGGCTTCACAGAGAGAACCCTTCTCAGAAAGTGGGGAGAAAATGGAAAGTAAGGGGCTGATAGAATATACTAGTATACTACAGGAGTGGGTATTAAGAAGATAAAGACAAATGTCTAGGGGTCTGCTTTGCAAATGTCTCAATACGCAAAAACC